TCTTTCTTATTTTATTGGCACGTGCCCTCGGAGAGAGTAAGGGAAATACAGAGAGAGCAAGACAAAGGAGCAGCCCTTTTCTCTTTGGGAATCATTTGTTTCATCCCTGCTCTCTAAAATGGTCCCACGCTCCGATGTCTTTACCTTGGCCTTGCCCCTTAGTCCTTTTTATTCACTGTCTTCTCTCTACGCTATCTGCCAAAAGACACAGACATGTATACGTAGGTAGTTTCACCAAGGTCTCGGCCATGAGTGAGAGGGAGTAATGGTTCTGACATCTGACACCCCCCGCCCCCCCACGCGCTCACCAAAATTAAGGAAGATAGGATGGTAGAATGAAGAGAAAGAAGAAAGCAGGCCAGCAGGTAGGAAGGAAGGAAGGAAGGAAAGATGTTTCTTGGCATGTAAGATAGATTTAAAGTCAATAGGCTTTTAACTGTCTGCCTTTTTTTGCTGCAGTTGTTGGGAGCCATCTCATCATCTCACAGCCCTGAGTCAAACATCATGAAATGATGCTTCCTGGCTCTCCGTCATTTCCAGAACGGTTGTGATGCTTGAGTGTAGTGTTGCCGCCACTGGGTCAGTCCGTCGTATGGAGGGGCCCCTCTTTTTCACTGATCCTCTGCTTTACTGAACATGCTGTTCTTCGTGAGGAGTTGGCCCCTCCTAGTTAGGTGGCCAAAGTCAGCAAGATGAAATCTCCCCAGGCTTGCGTCTTCAGAAATTGTATGGATTTGCCTCCAACCTGGATTTGTGTGTTCTCCTGACAGACCGGGGTATAGTCAACACTCTTTGCTAACCCCCCAATTCAAATGTCTCTGTTCTTCTGGTTTCTCTCTGCAGTGTCCACCTTTTCTTTCATACGAGATGACTGAAAATATTCATCTAACTTTGAGAAATTACGATTAGAATGTGGCAGGTAATGAATATTTTAGGCTTGCCCAAAGGTCATGTCACATATTAGTGCATATTCTTGTTTTTATTTTTTAAATAGCCCCTTAAAATGTAACCCCCCCAAACAAACAAACAAACAAACACATACACACATTTTAAGCTTCCTGGCTGCGAGCTATGGTTTACCAACTTATGTACATTAGGCCATCCTATTGTATGCTGTTGTTGAAGAATCAAATAAGATAATAAATGTTTAACTGCACTGAAAATCATGCAGTAGAAGTTTTGTCCTCATACTTCTCTATTGTCATTTGGAGAAAATCACTAAGGACTGAGGGAATTGGACTTGAGTCAGATTTTATTTCTTTCATTTTTATGTATGTAATTTGGTGGCATTAATTACATTCACTGTGTTGTGCAACCATCACCACTACCTGCTTACTAATTTTTTCATAAACAATTCTTAACCCTTAACAAGCACCCTATATCCTTTAAAGAATACACCCTCCTCTCCTCCTCCCACCTATGCCTCCAAAACTCAAACCAAACTCACTCCCATCTAGTGAATGCCGATTCACAGCAACCCTATAGTAACACCTAATTAACATTTGTCCCTTGGCCATTTGCCGATTTTGAATGTTTCATGTAAGTGGGATCATACAATATTTGTCCATTTGTATCTAACTTACATCATTCAGTATAATAAACTCAGCTAAAATTCATCTTTATCACAGAACTTCATCTCTCTTTATGATCTGGTAATAATCCATTGCATGGATAGACTACGTTTGATTATCTGTTCATCAGGTAATGGACAGACACTTGGGTTGTTTCTATCTTTTGGCTACTGTGAATAATATTGTAATGAACAATGGTGTGCTCATATACCTGTTTGAGTGCCAGCTTTCTTTGGGGGCTGAGGTAGTTAGATTATTGTGCCAACCTGGCCAATAAACACATGTGGGGTTAACTGAAGGGCGGAGGGATAAATGGCTTGGTGAGCCTTGCCTTTCTGGTTCTCGGGTCTCTTGCTTTCTGATGGCTGGACCAAGGTGCAGCTGCCTGCTTTAGCTGGCAAGGCTGATTACCTGCAAGACATCCCTGAGGAGAAGCCACATGGACCTACCCTGATGCAGCCCTGGGAGCTGGAGCAGTGAGTGGAGACCCCTGCCAGCGCTGAGATGCTTACACATTCACTGACTCGGCTTTCTTCCTGCAGTTGGCATCATTGCGTGTGTTTTGTGAGATGAAGGAGGACTTTGTGGACTGGTGTTGGACATATGGGTTAATGGGTTAATGTTGGACTTGTGGGCTTGGGCAGCACTGGGTTGGGGTATTTTCTTTTTTTAAAAAATTATTTTACTGGGGGCTCGTACAATTCTCTCAGAATCCATCCATCCATCCATTGTGTCAAGCACATATGTACATTTGTTGCCCTCATCATTCTCAAAACATTTGCTTTCTACTTTAGCCCTTAATATCAGTTGCTGGGATATTTTCTTGATGTGCACTTAACCTTTACATAAAACTCTCTCTTATACATGAGTTTCTGTGGATTTGTTTCTCTAAAGTACCCAAACTAATACAGGGGCATATTCATTGGAGTGAAATTGCTGGGTAGTAAACTAGTGTTTTGGAGCCCTGATAGTGTAGTGGTTATGTGTTGGACTGTTAACTGAAAGGTCAGCAGTTCGAAACTACTAGCCACTCCAGAAGAGAAAGATGAGGCTTTCTGCTCCCATACAGATGTTTGGTTCTGGAAACCCACAGAAACAGTTGTGTCGAGTTTTATAGGGTTGCTGTGACTGGATGGCTGTGGATTTAGTTTGATTTGGTTGTGTTAGGTTAGATTAGCTTTGATGTAGAGGAATGGTGTAGAAAAATTCTGGATTTTGCCAAATTAATATGGTGGGAAGTATTATTTTCAAGTCACACTTGTAATATGAACAAGGCAGGGTAGCAGAAACATCAACACACACGTTATTTGCTTTGCGATATTTTTCACAAGTCAGCCTTAGAAAACGGAATTGGGTTGCTTTATAATTAGAAGAAAATACCATAAAATAAACAATTGTTTCCCTCTCTAGCCAGAGAATATGCTATAATTGCACTTTAAAAAATAATATGACTTTAACATATAATATTTAGCAAATATTGAATTTCTCTATTGGCTCCCATATGTAACTTTTATTTAGTATTCTTTCAAATGGCTCTTGTACATTTAAAAATGAATGTTTATATGCCCTGAGTCTTCCCTATTGCAACAAATAGAAAAAGATAAGAATTATGTCTAGATTTAAAATACTTTATTAGCCATGATGTTTTCTGGGACAAGCAAAGAATCTAGTTTGCCCAGGATTCAAGTCTCACTTGATTCCACTTCATCGACAATGATTTATCATCCACTGGTAACACTAAAGTCATCTCATTTTATTACACCATTTTCTTAGGAAGTTAAAAAGGTTATTCTTAAGTTAATAAGGTAGATTATTCTCTGCGTCACAGAGACTGAGTGGTCTTTCAGATCCATGACTCAGTATGACAATTAGAGGTCAGCAGGTCACGTCTCCATATTCCGGCAGAGTGTGTGCCATCTGCAGATGCCAGCTTGGAAAACACTGGCATTCTATGGGGCAGTTTTGTAGATGTAGGAAAGCCTGTGCTCCAGAGGCATGCTGAGCTGTGTTCTCACAATATCTCTTATTCAGGCCTAAAACTAGAGTCAAGAAGTCCAATAATAATATTGTGCATCCCAGAAGGAGCTGAGTAGTCGCAAAGCACCCTGACTGGTTTGACTGCGATGGAAAAGATGGAAGCCTCGAAGCAGCTGATGAGACATTATAACACTGTGACATGAAGTTCAGAGAAAGGATGAAAAAAGTGCCCACAACCCACAGACAAAATCGAACCTGTTAATAGCATAACAAAATGAAAATAAGAAACACAATCTTAAAAATATGTTTAGGAGTCACCACCCACTCACATTTCTCATAAGCATCGCAGAGATTTCCGTGACCTGCACTGGGCTTTAAAAATGGCACTGGACACAAAAGAAACCACTTTTCAAAGTGTAAACTTGCAAATTGAATTAAATTGTCTTAGCGAATCTTTGGTTTTATAAGAAAGGCAAAAAATTACTTTCAAAAGTCAGACTTAGAAGGTTTAAAATGTAAAAACAAAGCAAAACAAACCCTCAGGTCATATTTAATTCTTTCATTGTTAGCTTGGTTAACATATTAAATCAATCATCATATCTCACAGAGTGTATATCTAATGGTTACTACCATATACGAAAGTTTTATTGAACAACTACTTGGTGTCAAGCACAACCCTTTCCATTGAGGACAGAATAGAAACAACTAGAAAAAATGTCATCTCATAGAGTTTAAAAATTTAAGAAGGGGCTCTCAGAAATAGGGAAGGACACAAGCACAGAGGAGGCACAAATTGACAAGTGGGATATACCAAAGATAAAAACACTTGTGTACATCGGAAGAATTCACCAAGAGAGTCACAAGAGAGCCCAAAGACTGGGAAAACATCTTTAGCAATGACACATCAGACAGAGGCCTTGGTACTAAAACCTATAGGACTCTCGTAGTTTACAAGAAGAAAAAACTAATTGCCCACTGATGAGGTGGGCAAAAGACCTGAACAGAAGTTTCACAAGGGCAGAAATCCAAATGGCCAACAAGCAGATGAGAAAATGTTCCCGATCATTAGCCATAAAAGAAATGCACATCAAAACAACTATGAGATACCACCTAAGACCCTCAAAGATAGCCCAATCCAAAATTTCAGAAAGTAACAAGTGTTGGAGGGGCTGTGGTGAGATAGGAACTCCCGTCCACTGTCAGTGGACCTGTAGGTATGTATAGCCATTATGGAAATCGATTTGGCGATATCTAAAATGTGGAAATCGAGCTACCATGCAACCCAGCAATCTCCCTACTGGGCATATACCCAGAAAAGGCAAGAAACAAACCATGGCCAGACATCTGTGCTCCAATGTTCATCGTGGCACAGTTCACAATTGCCAAGAGTTGGACACAACCCAAGTTTCCATCAAGAGACGAATGGATTAAAAACTGTGGCACATACATACAATGGAGTTCAACACATCTATAAAAAGCAGTGATGAACTCTTGAAGCACATTGTTGCACAGGAAGAATTGCAGGACATTATGCTAAGTGAAGTAAGCCAAGCACAAAAGGACAAGTACAACGTGAGTCCGCTGAAGAGAGGGTGAGAGGGACCAGACTTCAACCTACTGTACCAAGATGGGAATGCAACATACTGACAGGAAGCAGGGCACCAATGGAGAGGTCTGAGAGGCCGGCCTCAATCCCAGCTACGTGGACAGCCTCCCTCCCCCCAGAAGAATGCACTTCAGAGGACAGCACTGAAGCTACTGCTCAGGGAAAGGGGCGTGTCTGATCAGAGCGCACAGGAACAAATGAAGGGGGCAGGAGAGATTGGAACACATCTTGGCCCACCAAGCCCCGAGGATGATATTCCTACTTAGAGCAGCCAATGCACGGAGAGGACCATAGGGCCGGTCCCATCACGAGATGCAACATCCCTCACTGACCCATAAAGCTAACGGGGACAACACTGGAGACACAGTGCAGGAAATGTGCCTGAGCTGACCCCACCACACCGGGGCCAAACACTAAGGGCGTGCAACAGGGGTACAAAGCAGTGAAGTCCCCTAGGAGTACCAAAAATAGACTTTGGGGGCCAGGGCATGGCACCCCATCAGACTTGACTGGAAAACACTCATAAAGGTCAACAAACAAAATATAGGTTTTTCTTTAAAAAAAAAAGAAGGGGAAGTTAATTAACAAGTAAAAAATAAGTTACATAACCATGTGCTTTTTGTGGTTATTATGAGGAAAATACAGTAAAGGGACAGAGATGACTTGGAAAGGAGTCTTGGAGCTGATAATATTTTATCTAGAATGCTTAAGAAAGACTGCTCTGACAATCACTTTAGAGGTCATAAGAAAGCCATGCACATTACGGAGGTGCCATGCATGCAATGGAGATACCAGTGATCTAGGCAGAAGGAACAAGGGAGACAAGGCTTTGAAGTGAGAGCAGGAGTGGAGCATTTGAAGAGGCGTAAGAGGCCGGTCAGTCTATGGAGTGAATGAGTGTGGATGGAGGTGTGTGGGGAGGGAACATCCTACGCAAAGCTTTAAGGAAGACATTGGATTTTACTCTGGGAGGCAGATGGCCATTGGTGTCCACCCCAGTCCAGACCTCAGCATGTCTCCACTTAACAAGAACCTATTACTGTACTTCAATTCTTGCCTCCTGCCTCTCTTTCCAGTGATGCATATTTTACATTACCACAATATACATGAAGGGTTTCAGAGGATCACGTTACTTTCAGAGTGTGTGGGAAATACGTGTCTGTCTTTTCTTCACCTACCAAGTGATCTTTATTCAAAATCAAGATCTTTATGGATCTTTAGTCAAATATCTCACCAGACAGACAGACAAAATTGGGTCAAATAATTACAAGGCAATCAAATTTATATACTGGAACTTCTGCAGAGAAAATGTGGTGCAAATAAACTTAGTAATATAAGAGTTTAGTCAGAGGGTTAAATACAAAAGTATGAAATGGGTTTCGTAGGACTTGAATAAGTACCCTGAGACTAGCAAGTCTGAGGGGCTATTTCTACCCCTTGAACCCAAAGAGCTCAGTCCCAAAGAGGGCAGTCCCTGTGGCCCCCAACAGAATGAAACAGACAAAAATGCAAGGCCTTGGCCAGGTGAGTGCTTGGAAAATAAAAACCTCAACCCTTTGATCACCTGCTAGTGCATTCCGTTCCTTGAATTCCATCTGAAGCCAAAGAACAAGTGAGGCCATTGGTGGACTAGAGGCCAAAGGCTCAGAGGGTAGACTAGCATAGAAGATGGGCAAATGGGACTGCTTAGTACTAATTCCCTAACAATTTTGCATGAACTTTTCTTTCCTGTCTCATTACTTGTTTTTTCACCACAGGTAGTTTAAGATGAGATACCCAGGACTATGAGAGGCCTTTCAGAGTTTCATGGAAACGTTCCATGATCTTTTCATTCCATTTTTGAAGGCCCCTTTTTATTTCCATCTATAGAAATACAATCCACTTGATATGCCCTCCATGAAACTTCCTATGGTCCAGCAAGGCAGAAGCCAGCCCTGCATTACAACTCCCATAGTCTTGAGTTTACATTATAGATCTGTGATAGCGACTGACAAAATATGACTGGAAATATGATTTAGAATATGCCTCTCTATTTAGTTGCAAGATTCCTTAAGACATGGAGTGAGATTTTTCACCACTTATATATAAACTGGTGGCCCTATGAGTTAGGCATCAAGCTGTTATTTGGAGGTTTGACAGTTCAAACCCACCAGCCAAAGTGTGGAGCAAAGATGATACTGTCTGGTTCCAGAAAGATTTACAGCCCCAGAAACCCAATACAGAGACTGTATGAGTCATAACTGACTCTATGTCAATGGGTTTAATTTTTGGCTTTTATGTGTAGCACATCATTGTGCACATAGCAATGATTAGAGCATGTTGGTAACATGCACATGAGTATGTTGGCATTGAACTAAACTTGAAAGCCCTCTAGTTACATTTGTTCATTTTATAAAAGTAAAAAGTGAAGCCTAAACATATGCCGGCAAATATGGTACTAGAATACAAATATTAATTTGCCAAATTTAGTAGACTTCCCATTACAGTATAGCCCATTATTTCCATGAAGCTCAAAAGAAGAGCTCCAGAGTTTTACAAAGATAAGGAAAATTAAACGTGAGTTAGGGATATGTGGATCAATGCCTATAAAGATATTTGCATGTTGAGGATTTTTCTTAAATTGAGAAAATATTTATAGCTTTATTGATCCTACACTGTTTGAGAAACAGCTTGTGGAATTTAACATTCCCCAAAGGCAGCTGGGTTCTCCTATTCTAACGTAGTAGCAGTGTGTTGAAGAGATCAATGGATACAATTATTTGCCATGAGTTGTAAAGGAATGCAGCTGAATGACTTGAGCTGTCCCTTTAGACATTTTCAGCATTGTTTTGTTCTCTTGCTAGGTTTTGTCTTCACAGAACCCATAAATTAAAGTGGCCGCTTGTTACTCTGTATTGTTTAAAGAAATCAACTTTCTCGTGTGACAAGAACAAGGTAAGGCATTTTGTCTTATGTTCTCTTTAAACTATTTTTCTTCTTGCATTACTGGATTCTTTTTTCTTGGGGGAACAAGGATCAAGAATTTCCATGTCTGCAGTGCTGATGTTTTTGAGATTCCTAGTGATTACTACCTGCTGGGCATCAATCCACAAGGTCGGCGGTTCGAAACCATTAACTGCTCCCTAGGAGAAAGAAAGAGCTTTCCACTTCCCTCAAGAGTTACCGTCTTGGAAACCCACAGGGAAGTGAGTCGGCATTGAGTGAGGACCAAATTCAAGTTCATTACTTCTCTAGGATTCACAAAAATCTGTTTAACTCGTAGTTTCAGTTTATTACAGTGAAAGGATACAGTTTAAAACCAGTAAGGGCAAAGGCTCATAGGGCAGGCTCCATGGGAGACCAGGACCAGCACTGACTACTGCCCTCCCTCAGTGATGTCATGCGGACCACCATCTTTCATCAATTTGCATAGAATGTTGCCTGTCAGGGGAGCGGACCTGAGCTGTGTGTCTCGGTGTTGACGAGCAAGTAGACAGTAACGGTGGCCATCATACTCGAGGTTAGTCTCCAGCCCCTCCAGAAGCCAGTCTGTTGCCCAATATTCCGAATTCCCCCACCATAAATCACATTGTCAGCAGAGACTATCTCGTGTGGCCCAACGTCCTCAATAAACAAAGGCTGCCTTATCGGTCAAAGCATTCCAAGAGCTCAGATGTTGTGTCCAGGATCTGGGGGCAAAGGTTAACTCTTTCCTTGGACGAGGCTAGTCCTTCGCTGCACAAGTGCGTTTTATCCATTTAAAGTATACATCTCTCAAGATAGGTTCTAAGCTGCTGTTTTGCCATTTACCAGGGTTCCTACACTATCGTAGTCTGTGGTACTACTGTCTAGTTCCTCAGTGCCCTGGAAGCACAAAGGAGCCCTGCTGGCATAGTGGTCACTTGGTGGGCTGCTAACCCCAAGGTGAGCAGTTTGAACACAGGACTTTTCCTCCTCCCGTGAAGAATTACAGTTTTGAGCAGTTCTACCTTATCCAATAGGGTCACTAGTAATCGGCCCGTACCCCTTGGCAGTGAGGTTCTGCTTTAAGCACAAAGGGGATTCGGATCATAATTTGTTCCAAACTCCTGAACAGTCGTCGTGGGATAGGTGATGCTGTGATTCCCGCACCTCGGAGCTGAGATCGCACACATTCGGGATGTGCCTGGGAGGGTGTGCGAGCACCCGTACGTGTGGGGAGGTGTGCCAAAGGGGTGGGGTGAAGGACAGCGAGGAGGGCTCGAGGTGAAGCGAGAGGGGAGGGAGGTCGCCTGCTCAGGCCTCTCCCCCCGCCTCGGGGCCTCGGCTCACTAGCGCCCTGGCTGCACCTCCCGGCGCGCGCCGCCGCGGCGCCACAGGCCCCTCGCCCCTTTGACCGCCGCCCTCCGCTGCCCCTCCTGCTCGGACCGCAGCCAGGGCTCGGGATGGCACGGGGCTGATCGCGCCTCCCCGGGGACCTCTCC